AAAATATAAAGAAATAGAATATAATATGAATTAGAAAATCAAAATTAAAAACGAAAAAATTAAAAAATTAAATATCAAACTTAATTTAAAAAATAAAGAGATTTTATAAAAAAATATAGAAATTTAATAGAATTGTAAAGAAATTTAATCAAATCAAATATTTTTAGAGTAAACAAATATTGAAATTCTATAAAAAAATAAAGAAATTGAAGAAAAAAATAAAGTAATTGAAGAAGAATATAATAAAATGTAATAAAAAAATAATGAAATAGAATAAAAAAATAATGAAATTGAATAAATAAAATAAGAAATTTAAATTCTAGAAAAGACTAATAAAGATATTATTATAAAAATAAGATTTTATGAAAAAGAAATTTAAAAGAACAATAATGAACATAATAATTAATAGTAACTTCAATAATAAAAATAATAAGATAATATAAATGATATTATATAAGAAAATAATAATAATAATAATATTTAATAAAAAGAAAAATAAGAATTATAAAATTAAATAGAATAATTAAACAGATAAATATAAATATTAGAAAACGAATATAAATAAAAAAATATATTACTTGAAAATATAATGAATAATAATTAAAAAATAAATCTAAGAATTTGAAAATATTATTAGTTAATAAAGAAATAAAATTGAATAATATAAAGTAGAACAAATAAAAAATTACGAGCTTAATTAATAAAATATAAATATTATTAATTAATAAAAAAATAAAATTGATTAATTTGAAGTAGAATAAATATAAAATAAAGATTAAAATAATATATTATAGAATCAAATATCATAATATGTATAATAAAATAAAGAATTATTAGAAAAATTAGATTAAAATTATAAATAAGAATTAAAATAGAAAGAATATTATAAAAATTTGTAATTAAAGACTGAAAATTTATAAAATTCTTTAAATAAACTTGAAAAACTTATTTGTGAAAAAAATGAAGAAAATTAAAATTTAAAAAAAGAAATCAATTAAATTGAAGAAAATAAAAAAATATTATTAAACAATATTAAGTATAAATTGAATAAATAAATGAAAAAAATTAAAATTTGTAAACTGAAGAAATTAAAAATAATTAAGAAAAATTCAATAAAATAAAAGAGGAATTAATTTAAAAAGAATAATAACTTGAATTTACAATAAATGAAAAAAACGAAAATATTAAATTAATCTAAGAATCAAAATACAAAGAAATTTAAGAAATAAAAGAATTATATTAATAAAAAATTATTTAAAATGAAAAGTTAATTTTAGAAGAGAAAAATCAATAAATATAATCTTTAGAAAAAGAAAAAAATTGTATGAAAATTTAAATACAAGATTTTTAAGAATAAATAAGTAATTAAATTTAATAAATAAAAGATTTTGAAAAAGAAAAAAATAATTCGTAAATATAAATAGAAAATATAGAAAGAGAATTAACTGAATTAAATAAAAAAATCTAGTATATAGAATTTTTGAAAATAGAAAATGATGATTTATTAATTAAAAATAAAGAATTATAAGAATAAGTAAATAATTAAATTAATTAAATACAAACTTTAGTATTAGAAATAAAAAAATTATAAATAAAAAGAGAAGGATTATAAGGCGAAATAAATAATAAAATTATTTAAATAGAAAGTTTATTTAATGAAAATAATAATTTTAAAATTTAAATAGAAGGATTATTGGAAGAAATAATTGAGTTAAAAAATAAAATTTAATAATAGAAAATAAAAAAGTAAAAACTAATTGAAATTTAAGATGAAATTATTAAAAAATAAAAATTAGAATTTTAAAATGAGATTTATATAAAAGACGAAGAATAAAATAATTTAAATAAAAAATTATAAGAAACTTAAGATATTTAGAAAAAATAAGATGAAATTATTAATAATTTTAAGAATTAAATAAAGGATTTAGAATTAATATATAATTAATAATAGTTAATTATAAAAGAATAAAATTATTCTAAAGAAAATGCTTTCTTATTATAAACATAAAAATTTTAAGTTAAATTTTAAAAAATATTGGATTAAATGATGAAAATTAATTATGTGAAAAAAAATACTTAAAAAGATGATAAAATTATATAAGAAAAAGAAAATGAAATTTAAATCAAAAATTTATAAGAAGAATAATAAAAAGAAATTTTAAATAAAAGATCTGAATGCGAATAAATTTAAAATATATTTTAATTAAAAATTAAAGAATAGGAAGAATTATTAAGTTAATAAATTAAAGAAATAGAAGAAAGTAATTGTAAAATAAATGAATATATAGAAATGTAATTTAATTAAAAAAATAAAATTTAACAATTGGAAGATTAAATTGAAAAAATAAAAAAAGATAATTAAACTTAAATAGATTAATTATAAAATTTAATTAATGAAAAATAATAATAAATTAAACTTTTATAAGTAAAATTAATAAATAAAAAATAGAAAAAATAATAATCATTAAATATGGAAATTATTTAAAAAGAAATTAATATAGAAGAATATTAAAAAAAAATGGAAGAAATATAGGAAGAAAAATGCAAATTAAAAAATGAAATTAATTAATTAGTTGTAAGATAAAATAAATTAGAAAATACTTTAAATTATAAAGATTAAGAAATATAAAATTATTAAAATTAAATAAGAGAATTAATGTCCAAAATTAATTAATAATAATCATTTTAAACACAAATGGAAGATAAAGAGAATGATTTTATTTAATAAATTTAAAAATAATATAATTAAAATTAATAATTAAATAATTCTTTATATGAAAAATAAAGTTAACTAGAAAAAATTTAATAAAAATATTTAGAAATATAAGAATAATTGCAAAACTAAGAAAATGAGAGTATTTAAAAGCAAAAACAAATATAAGAATTAGATTTATCAAATTAATAAATAAAATCGGAAATAATCAAATAACAAGAATTATTTAATAGAAAAAAAAATTAAATAAAAGAATAATTAAGTATAGATTTAGAATAATAAATTAATTAATTTTAATAATTATATGAAGAAAATGAGAAAATAAAAACTGAATTTGTATAAAAATAGGATGAAAATCAATTAATTATTAAAGAAAAACAATATATTATTGATTAATAAATAAATAAAATATAGGAAATAAATAATTTAAATTAAGAATAAGAAAATTCGATTTTTATGTTAAATAATTAAACTAAGAAATATTTGGAATAAATAAATGAATTTGAATAATAAATTATATAAATTTAAAAATAAAAAGATGAAAATTATGAATTGTTTTTATAATAAAAATCATAATTAGAAAATTTAAATAGTTAAATTGAAGAGGATAAAAAAAAGCAACAATAAGAATCATTTAATTAATAAATAATTAAAGAAAAAGAATCATAAATAGAATAAAAGGCAATTAAAATCGAAAATAAATATAAAGAACTTAATAATTAATAAAAAGTTTAATTTGAAAAGCAAATAAAACAATTAAACGATAAATTATTAATTTAAATTGAGGAAATTGAAAAAGAAAAGGAAAATTTAAAAATTTAAATTGAAGAAATTTAAAAAGAAAGTGAAAATCAAAAAAAAAATATAGAAAAAGAATATGAATAAAAAAATTAAAATATAAAATAAGAATTTTTAAGTGAAATAAAAAAAATAAAAGATGATAATTAATTTTAAATCGAAAATTTAATAAATATTAGTACTTTGGAGAATTAAAAATTACTATCTAATATTTAAAAAAAGGAATATTTATACTAAACTTTATAAAAGGAATTTCAAAGTTTAATTCATTTAAAAGAAGAAGTAATTTTACATAATAAATAAATAGAATTTAAAAATAAAGAATTTTAAGATTTAAATTAAATGTATTTGAATAGTCTTTAATAATAGGAAGATATTAATAAATAATTAGAATAGTTAAAATTAGTTTTAGAAGATTAAAAATAAAAGATATTAGAAAAAGATGATATTTTAGATAATAAAAATAAATCTATTGATGAAAAAAATAAATAAATTTAAGAATTTAATTTGTTATTAGAAGAAAAGAATATTTAGATTAATAATTTAGAAGATAAAAATAAAAAAATGGAAGAAAATACTAAATAAATTATAGAAAAAAAAATAAAAATAATTGAAAAAATTAAATAAAAAGAAGAAATAATTAAATAAATATAAAAATAAAAAAAATAATTAGAAGAATAATTTGAACAAATAAAACATAAATATTAATAAATGTAAGAAAAAAATATAAAAATTGAATAAAATAATTAATAAATATACGAAAAAAATAATTAATTAGAAGAAAAAAATATATAAATGGAAGTAATATATAAATAAATGTAAGAAAAAAATATACTATAAGAGAAAAATATTATATAATTATAAGAAAAAAATCAATTAATGGAAAATAATTTAGAAAAAATAGTAAATGAAAAAAATATAAATAAAGAAAAAATAAATGAATATTAAAATGAAATATAATAAATGTTTTTATAAATAGAAAATTTAAAAGAAATAATAAATAATAAAAAAGAAAAAAAGAAAAAAATATAGTAAAATTATGAAAATTAAATCAAATCAAATAAAGAACAATAAATATGTGAAATGTAAAAAATTATTTAAGAAAATAATAATATAAATAATGAAAAAATAATTCAAATATAATTATTAGAACAACAAATAAATGAATAAAAATAAATTATAGAAAATATATAAAATTAATAAAAATAAAAAATAAATTTTATAGAATAACTATAAATTTAAAATTCTAAATTAGTAGAATAATCATTCGAATTATAAGAATAAATAAATAAATTACAAGAAGAACTAGAAATGAAAGCTAATTCAAGTACTTATTCTTAAAATAGTTCATATATATAAGAAAATGAATGATTATTAATATAAATTAATTATGTATATTTATATTTATTTAAATATATTTATATATATTTTTTATACATATATAAATATTTATAATTTTTGTATTTTTATATTTATTTATTTTTTTTATATTTTTAAATTTTTGAATATTAAATTATTGTTAAACATAAATTTATACAATTAATTATTTATATTTTTTATGCTTAAAATAAATTATAATAATGAATATTCTCATAATATAATTATAAAAGTCCATAAAATATATATAAAGAACTTCTATAAATTTCCGTTATTTTCATTATCAATAAATTTAGAATTTTATATTACTTAATTATCTATATTACCTGTACTTTTTTATTAAATCATTTTTTTTTCAAAAACAACAAACTAAAAATCTTTTTTTACGAAATTTTAATTCATTTAAATATCATTTAAATTTCTTAAAGAAGCGTCATTATTTGTATTAATATATAAATAAACTTAAATAGTACTTTTAACCGAAGGATATAAAAGATTAATTGCAAGAATTATTTTTCCATATTCAGACGATATTATTTACGTTAGTAATTGTGTGTAATTAAATACTTGTTCATCTACTTTTAAAATAACTTGGTTTAGCTAGAATTTTTTAGTGTAAGTGTTGTCTAATAAGAATATAGTTAGATATAGTTATTCTCCAACGAAATAAAGAGGTAATTTCTTCTATTGTAAACAGGATTTATCTTCACAAATAAAACCTCGAGTATCTAAATCAGCCACTACAAAGCATTTAGAAGTTGTTGATTTTAGGTCACAATCTTCAGATGTAATCACATTTTAGTCTAAAGAAATGACTGTTTTACCCGAAACTTTCACTTCGAATTAATGAACGAGTTGATTTTAATTAGCATTTGGTGTTTATATCGATTATATGAGTATTATTCCTAAATTTAAGGAGAAATTGTTTGGTTCTTAAATGTTTATAGGGTTAAAGAGTTTTTTTCGGTAATATCTTTGAGAGGGATTTAGGCTTGGAGTCTATTTTAATTTGTAATTTTAATATATTCAGGTGGTATTTGCATATATTTAAGATTCTCGAAATAAGATAATACCAAAGTACTATATTGACGACATTAAGAGGCTATATTTGCAGAATTCCAGTTTATTTCGGAAGTTATTTGCAAAGTTTAATCATTATCTATTAATAAGGAATATGTCTGGACTTTTATTTAACCATAATTGGTTTTTAATTATAAAGGACATTATTATTATTATAGATCTAAGGAAATACATTGGAAATTTTTCGGTTAAAATATTATCGAAAAAATAACCTTAGGAGCATTCACAGTATTTTGAATTTTAAGATAATTATGAGTTTTAAGCTCTACAAGAGGTACAAATTGAAGTATTTGGGAGACAATTACAACTATCATGACACTTGTTATATTCGACTAATATTACTAAGTTTTTGATAGAATATTTAGCTTTTTTTTTATATTTATTTACATATATAGTGTATTTTTTTATTACTTTTATTTTCACCATATGATTAGAGTTTTAATTTAAATTATTAGGTTGTGTATTATTTGTAGATGTTTATTTTTTTTAGGTGTTGATTGCAGACTTGAAGGTCTAGAGGTATTGTTGTGGTTAATGAAGTTTAGTAAACTTTTTTTTTTTTTTAAATTTAATTTTTTTTTTTTTTTTTTATTTTTTACTTTATTCATTTTCTAAATAAACGCCAAGATATTAATAAGCTTTTTTTTTTTTTTTTTAATATTTTTTTTTTTTTTTAATTTTTTTTACCTGATAAATCTTAAAAATATAAATCGAATGAAATTTAGATACTGAAATGATTATCAACTTCTACTTAATATTATTTTTCGATAAAACTGTTATTATCAAATGATCCAAACAAACAAAATCCATTACAATCTGATAGATATTAATAATTATTAACTTATTATTGATTATTAATATTCCATCTAGATGAATCAACTTAGCAGGCTAATTAAAATTCCTAAGTTACTTAAAATTTTAAAGTTTAGACAATTGGTAATGCTAATGATGTTACTTTTTTTATTATAAATATATAAAAATTAATTATTTTACATTAAGCTGATTTTGAACATTATAAAACCTAATTAACTTACTAGCATGGATATTCACAAAATGTTATTTCTTTTTAGTAATCTTTTGGTTAATCGCATTTCCATTATTGGTCTTGCTTATAACATATATTACAGTTATCTTATGTTTTAACTTATGTTAATATTAATATTAGAGTTAAAATTATTATTTTCATTTTTTATATTTTTCCTTTCTTGCTTTTTGTTGATTGTTAATTATTATATTTTTCTATTAATATTTTCTTTTTTAAATTTTATAATAAATAAATTAATGTTAATTATAAATTAATAATTTCGATAAAATTGGAGTTTTTCTTTTTTACGTTTAATTATTAAATTTAAGAATTATATAAATTTTTTAAGTTAAATTTAAAATATTTTTTTTTTTCTACTTATATATTTCTCTATGTGTATAAATTATATTATAATAATAAAATAAATTACCCTCTTTTAAAGGTTTTTCAGTTTATTTAGATTAATATAAATTCTATATTTGCTATTTTTAAATAAATATAAAATCAATTAAGATATATTAATTGGAACTAAAAAAAATAATATTTGATTTATATTATATAAACGTTTTTAAAAAAGATAAAATATAATATTAAAAAAATTCAGGCATTTAATATATTATTATAATATAATTAATTTTTCTATATATTAAAAAAAATATAAAAAAGAAAAAATATTTTAATAGATAATATTATTTATTATGTTCTTATTATTTTTTCTCTATAATGATATAATATATAAAATTACTATAATATCTAAATTTTAAATTATTTAAATAAATAAATAAAAGAAAATAAGAAAAAAATAATAATTCAATAAAAAATATTAATATCAAAAAAATACAAAAAAATTAAAACTAACAAGTTTTTTTTAAATGTATTAAAAATAAAATAAAATATATATATAAATTTGAAATTGAAAAAAAATATAATAAATATTATTAATAAATATAATAATATTAATATTAATAATAATAAAAATAATAATAATATAATAATAATAATAATAATAATAATAATAATAATAATATATTTATATATATTAATTTTTTTTTATTAATATTATTTAAATATCATTTAAATTATTTATATATAATTTTTTTATTAAATAATTTTCTATTATAAATTTATTTTAAATTATTTATAATTTATTTATTTTTATAAATAAAAAAAGAAAAAATAGAAAAAATAAAATTTTTTAAAATATTAATAAATAAATATAATAACATTTCAAAATTATATCAATTAGTTTTTTTTTTTCCTATTTCTTTTTTACTTTTTTTAGGAATTACAAAAAATCCATCATCATCAACCTTAAATTTAGTAATTTCTTATTTTTCTTATACTTAAGTTTCTTAATTATTTTTATTTATATTATTATATTAATCTTTTTCTTCATTATATTAGTAATTTTCTTCATTTTATTATAAATTTTTTTCATTTTATTTATATTAATCATTTTTTTATAATTCAAAATTTAATTTTTATTATTCGTCATTTTTTTCTTATTGTTTTTTTTTTTTTGAACTTTTTTATTTTATCATAACTTCAGGTTATTATTATATATCTTTTTTTTAGTTTTTATCAAAAACTGCAAGCAGTAAAAATCCTAAAAAAGAACCTATTTAGACATATTTTTCCATAGAAAAATTAAAAGAATCTTAAGTTAATTATAGCATAATATTTAACAAAAAGAATAAAATATAAAATTTAGTCAAAATATTAGGAGAGAATAAAGCTGTGCAACCACTAATTATATATAAAATTCCAATATTTCTTACAAAGTCAAATTTAGGGTTTATTTTAAATTTCAAAAATTATGATTGTTATTAAGACAAAAAGCTTTGTTGCATCTAATTTATTTGTTGCTCAATTTTATTAAGTACTTTAATGTAAAGTTGTTTTTCTTCAGGTTAAGGATAGTTAATTTTTAAATATCCAGTGTATATTAATACTATAAATAATGTTAATTTTAAATTAAAAACAAAAAATTCCATTTTTTTTTTTTAATTTAATAAATTTATATTTAGATATTATTTAATATTATTTTTATTTAGAAAAATAAAATATATATATATATAAATAAAATATTTAATTTCATATATGAATATATAAATTTAATATTCTTTTATTAAAATTCTACTTAAAAAGAATTCTAAATTTATTTTTTGATTCAATTTTTTTTTTTATATTTAAAAAGATAAAAAACCATATATTAAATAATAAATTATATGTTTTTTTTATTTTTTTTATTTATTATATTTATCTTAAATTTATTTATACATTTTTAGTTTAACTATAAATATATAAATATACTTAAAAAAATAAAAATTTTAATATAAAAATATATAATATAATAATATTAATATTTAAAATATTTTTTTTACAAAAATAAATAATTTTAAAATAATATTCTTATTTAATTATATAAAACTCTAAAATATATATAAATAAAATATATATAATTATTTATTATTTCAATGTTTTTATTTATTAGGTTTATGTCTTTTTATTTATCTTCTTTTACTTCCTCCTTTTTATAATGCTCTTTTCTAACTTCTAGTATCTTTCCTTAATCTTTTATCCACAAATTTTTAAGATCTAGAATTTTTCCCTTTTCCATTACTTGATCCTTTTTTCGAAAATACATATTTTTTTTCTTCTTTGAGTCCTTTTTTTTCCTTAGTGTATAATTATTTAACTTATCTAAGTTTCATTTATTCTGGAATACCTTCTTATTCCATTAAAAAGTTTGCCCTTTTTTAAGCTTTTTTCATTTTCTTTTCCATTCTTTTATAATTTCTAATTTTGGCTTCTAAAATCTACATAAAAATACAAAAATATATATATATATTTATATAAATTATTTTATTAATTGTATTATAAATATATTTACTTTTTTAGGTGCTCTTCTATTTATGCTCATAATTTTATCTTTTTCTGATTAAATTTCTTCCTTAGTAATTGGTAAATGTTTAAAATAATGCTTTTCTTCATCTTCTCTAAACCATAGAGGTAAATTGTCTTAATCTTCAAATGCATATTTTGAATAAGTAGAGTCTATAATATCTTCTCGCGCTCTTTTTCTTTACATTTTTTTGGCCAAAGCTATCGTTTCAGCTAATGTATCAATATCAAAATCTTCTTATTAGGGTACAATTTCTATCTTATTATCTAAATGGTCTATTGTAGGCACTGCATTTCCATCATTAGTTTTAATAGTTTTTTTTTTTCAGCCCTTTTTAATGCTCTTCTTCTTTTTTCCATATCAGTTTTAGGGACTTTGATTATATAGGCTTCATCATCGGAAAGTTCACCAGGAACTTTTTCATTAGGATCTATATCATAATTTTCAAATAAATCTTTTTATTTACGTTTTTTAATATAAATATTATCATCATTTAAATCTAAAAATTAATTTTATTATGAATGATAATTTTCATCATCTTATTGAGAATCTTCATCGTCTTCTTTTTTTGATATAAGGTTAGTTTTTTTTAGTGGGTTTATAAACTCCTTGCCATTAAAAAGTTCACCTTTTTCTAAATCATTGCTTTTTTCGTCTTCGGAAGTCATTTCATCTTCTAGAAGTTCATTATTGAACCATTTACGTTTTTTAATTAAACCTTATATTTAATTTTCTTCATAAACTACGTTATTATTTGTATTATTTAATCCTTATACTTCCATGTTATTTTTTTAAGTAAGTTCGATATCTTTTTCTTTATTTTCGGTCATTTTTTTGGCCTTTATAGCTTATTATTTTAACTTTTTTTATTCGTAAATACCTTCAAGATTCTACTCAAGCTCTCGGTTATTTTTAAAAGAAATTATTTTGGAAATCTTTGGTACTTTTTAATCATCTTCATTACCTAGGTCTATATAATCTAATTTCATTAAATCTCTATGCTCTATAGCTGAAAATAATTCCTCGTCTCCAATATTATTCGCAAATTCGGATGTTACGGCTTATTTTTATAGTTCTTTAGCCTATTTAGCTCTTTGTTTTCTTTATTTATTTAATTCTTGCTTTTATACTTCTTATATTTCTTTCTATAAATCACTATTACTATTAGAAATTTCATCTTTTTCTTCTTTTTCTTCTTCTTCTTCTTCAGAAATTTCATCATTTTCAGAAGCTTCTTCATTTCCAGAATTTTCCTCATATTCATCTATTTCTTCTATTTCGGAAATTTGGTCATTTTCAGAATTTTCTTCATTTTGTTTTCCTGAAGTTGCTTTTAATTATTATCTCTATTTTTTTTAAGAATGTTATATTTTGTTTCTCCATTTAATAAGCTTAGCTATATCTCTTTTTCCCAAAACTAGTATATCTTCACATAACTCTTTCCAATCTTCAGGTCCCTGAGCTACATTTAAGAGATTTTTATCAACTTAAGTATTAAAAGATATAGCATTATGTGTTAAAAAAACAGCAAAAGGGTTATTTACATTAACAAATTCTGCGAAAGGAATCGCTTAAAAAACTGTTTATTTAACATCATCGGCATATCCGACTCTTTTTCTTCTTTTTTGCATAATTTTATCAATTGAATTTACTTCGTGTTATACTTAATTTGTATAATAATCATCCTCAGTGTCTTTGAAGATGTATTTTATTTCGAAAAGTTTATCATCGATGAAATCAGGAGCTATAAAGTCAGAACATACTAAAAATATTTCCGCTGATTAGAATCTTGAAGCTTTTGGCTTGTTCGCTTCAATGGTTTTGAAGAACTTCTTGCATACCCATACTAATGCATTGTAATCTTTTGAACGAAAGACCTTAGTGACGAATATTCCGCCTTTAGTAAGAAAATTACATGCTAATTTTAATGCACATAAAGTCAATTCAGTTTATGAAAACGCATCTTTTTACCAGTTTGAGCCGATATTTGGGGCACCATCATTTAATACAACATCTGCCTTTATCCCATTTAATTCTTTTTTTAATAGCTAATAACATTGAGGGGTAGTAATATCTTATACGAATGTTTTTACACCTGGAATAGCTTTAATAGGGACCAAATCTAATCCGATTTTCTTACATGTTATAGGACTGAATTTTTAAACTACTTATAACCAACCTCCTGGGGCAGCACATAAATCAATTACGGCATTAGCCTTTTCTAAAAAGCTGTATTTTTTATTTATTTGAATTAATTTAAAACAGGCACGGGAACGATATCCACTTTCTTTTGCCATTCTATAATGAATATCTTTACGGCCTTTTCCTTACTTTTGTTTTTTTACCATTTATATTTTTTTTTATTTTTTTTAGTTTTTAGTTTATATTTAGTCTTATCTTTTTATATTATAAATATATATATATATATATTTTTTTTTTTTTTAGATTTATCCTTTTAATATTTAATTTTTTTTTAAAAAAAAATAAAAATAAAATATGTACATATTTTAATGAACATTTATATTTAAAATGGTATTTATATTTTTTTCTTGTAAGTTTAAAGTGATTTATTTAAAAGATTTAAAAAGATATTATATTATATTATAAGATTATTTAATAAATGTATGTATATTAATAAATATATAATATTTAAATGTAAAATAATTATAATAAACAATTAATATTTAAAATTTATTTGTTATCTAACATTAATAATTTAAATTTTGATTAATATAATATTTAAATTTTATTAATAAAATTTATGTATTTATAAATATTATACTCATAAATTTATTCTAACCATTTTTAATATTCAAAATAAAATAAATATATAAGTAAATAAATATTTATTTATATAAAAAAAAGGTTAGACTCTAAATATATAATAGCTTATAAAAAAATTAAATATTTTTATTTTTAAATACATAAATACGTTTTTTTTTTAAAAATATAAATAATATAATTGTTCAAAAAAAAAATTGATAGATGATTAAAAAGATTTAATATAAATGTTTAGATTTATATGAAGTTATAATTATAATAAGAAAATATTATAAACTATTAATATATATAAAAATTTATAATTTAATTATAATTTTACAGAAGATTATTTATTTATCCTTTTCAATTATATTTTTATAGCAAAAATATAAAATAAAAATATTTTGAAATATAAAAAATAATAATATATACAAAAAAGTAATTATTATAAAAATATGAAAAATAATAATGAATAAAATTAATCCTATTTTTCAAAAAATAATTAAAACTCAAATCAAAAACTTATAGATTCACTTCCAAGTTAAGCTATATAATTAATGGAAAATTTCATAGGGGATTTATATGGGATAAAATAAAAAGCAGCTATAGGATAATTAAAAATATAAGTAAATAAAATATATTTTTTTTTTATATATTAAATTTTTTATTAGAAATCTAGAGTATAAACAGATATAAACTAAAATTTATTCCAAATAAAATCCGAAAAACTTAAAAAAACATTATCAGTACATATTTATATAAATAGAGAGAAATATTTTTATATATAAAAAATAAAAAATAGAATTTAAAAGATTTAAACTAATAAAAAATGAAATCTTCAATAAATTATAAAAAAGATTATATAGATATTTAATATAGACCTAATATAGCTTAATATAAATTATAAGTAAAAAATATATATAAATATAATATATATATATTTATATATATAATATTTATTTATATATATTTATTTATATTTATAAAGTTAGAAAAACAGATTAAAAAAAATAATACATTATCGTCTGATTATATTGCTTAAACAATAGATACAACTTTATTAAATGATTAAAAAAAGTTTAATGTTTATCATACTTAAGAAATTAATTTTTAAGATGAAAAATAATAATTACGTTTATCTTAATCTATAAATCTTATTTTTCCTAAAAAAAAAAAGTAATTGAGCTAAATTTATTTAAATAGTTAAAAATTATTTGATACATCATTAGTTTTATAAAAAGTCTTTTATGAAGATATAGGAGAAGATTTAATAAAAATTAAAATTGAAAATCTTAAAAATTATAAAGATGAACCTCCTAGAGTTTATGATTAATATAATTATGAAAAAGAATAAATTTTAGATTTATTAGATTAAGGAATTATTTTAAATGGATTTTCTAAATGGAATATTTTAAATAATAAATCGACATGGAAACCATGTTAAATTTTATATTTTGATAAAAATAAAAATTTATATAGAATACAATGGAATGATAATAAATAATTTAAAGATGTATAACTTAATTTATTTTTTTATTTAATATAAAGAAAAAATATTATAAAAAATATATAAATAAAATATAGGTTACAAGATTAAATTTAATTGTAGAAAACGAAAATTTAATTTAATTTTAAGAAAGATACGATAATGCATATAAGATTAGAGAATAAAAATTATATAATGATAGTCTTTAAAGTATTTTATATAATATTATTTTTAAAAATATTAAAAAACAAAAAGAACTTATTAATAATAAAACATAGTAAATGAACATCTTTATGAAAAAATAATTATTAAGCAGTATATAAAAAAGAATTTTTAATAATTTAAAAGTTGAAACAAAATCTTAATATTAACAAGAAGTAATAGAAAATATACTTTAACAATATAAATTTTATATTATGAGATTTATCCTTGGTTTGTAAACTTGTTAAAGCTTAGAAAATTATTATTTAAAATTTTTACCTACATATTATTATAAACATAATAGATAATACATTTTATAATAATTAAATTTCAATAAAACAATAGAAATAACTACTTTTTTTGATAAAAAAAATGTCTAAAAAAATAATAATAATGAAGATAATATATATCTTACATAATAAGATTGCATTCTAAATAATCAAAAATAAACATATTATTAATAAATAAATACTATTTATCATTCAGATAATAAATACAAAGAATTATAACATTTTTTTTAAGTGGAAATTGTTGATATGTAATTTTTGTCTCATTTTGGAAATTTAACTGAGGTTTATAAAATTTTGATGTCTATTTTTGATTAAATAAAAACCTTGTAAGACTATAAGCTTTTTAAGCCTTTTTCTAACTTAAATAATACTTCTTATAGTTCTTTTTTTTAAGAAATAGATTCTCTTTTTAAAAAATAAACTGAAAAATTGGAATTGGTTATTTATAGAATTGAAAATAATATTGATTTGTTAAAAAATACATTAAATAAAATTAGTTAACATAGGCTTTTTTTCTATAAGGCAAGTACTGAAATACCAGAATTTTAAAAATTAATTAAATCTTTTCTTTAAAAAATTACAAAAAAAGCAAATATTATGTTTAAAAGTTGTCTAAAAATATGCTTAAAATAATCATATTAGAGAATTATTTAATTTTTAATAAATTTTATATTTATTTACCTGTAGTTAATATATCTTAAGCTTTATTCGATATTTTACCAAATGATTTTAAAGATAAAAAATTTAAAGCTTATGAAACATTAAAAATTTAAACTTAAGTTATATAAATATATATATATATATATATATATATATATATATATAATTTTTTTAAAAAATTAAATAATATTAGTTAAAATATATAAACTAAGAAAATTAATAAAATAATATTTCAGTATTTGATTATGATGCTAAAATTTTATATTAAATATATTGTGAAATTCTCGATAAAGCCTTAAATGGATAATTAAATTAATTTTATTAAAACTCAATGCTTTTTACATTCCCTATAATTAGATTTAACCTTGTATTATCTAACTTTAGAAAAAACCCTCCTTTGAAATAATAAAAAAATATTTATATGTATTTTATGAAATGTAGGGATAAAATATATAATTATCGTTTTTAAAATGAAGACTAGAAAACTTTTATCGGTGAAAAAACAAGGCCCTGGAGACCTAAAAATTTAACAGAAAATAAAGAATATAATGCTTAAATGTATATAATATTTGATATTTTGAAAATTAATACGAATGAAAAAACTTCTTTTTAAAATGAAAAAAATTAAAAAAATGAAATAAAAGAAAAAGATGCTTTCGTAATTCCAGATGATTTCTTATAAATATTTAAATAAAACTTCAAAACAAGGGCCTAGTATAAATATGTTACATATGAAAAATTTGTAAAAAAATTATATGATATTTATAAAGATATAATATATGTTTTCTTAAAAAAAAGGGATGGTTTGATATAAAGTATTTAAGAATAACTGTAGAACCTTCATTGGAAAGTGTAGAAGAAGATTTCGATATGTCTTTATAGAATGCATTTTAGAGAATTTAAGAATTGGAAGAAATAAATGGATTTATGACCAAAACCAAAATTGGAGACTCTAATAATATATAAGAAGAATAATAAATATTCGAAAAGGAATATTAATAAGTTAAAATTTGGAATTTCTATCCTATTTATGCTATTTTGATGATTTTTAATTAATTTGACTTTTATTTGTTCGAAAAAGATTATTTAGATGATCTTTTGAGTATTTTTTAATAAGATGATTAAGTTTTTTATTTAGGAGAGGAAATTTATAAACTTAAATAAGATAGGAAATTATTATAGTAAGGATTTCCTGACATTTTAAAACTAGGAATTTTCGAAATAAATCTTAAAGAAATTAAATAAAATATTATTAAAAAAATAAATTCAAATATACTAAGAATCGAAGATACTTTAAAAAAAAAGTTTATTGATTTATTAAATAAGTAAAAATATTAATATAATTATATATATATAATATTATATATATATATAAAGAAATTTCGAATTAATTAATGAAATAACTTCTGTTTTATAAGATGATCCTATTACTATTGATAAATATTTATATTTAAAGAAATATTTGAATTAGTAAGAATTATAGAAAAAAATAGATAAAAGTGGACATTAGATTTAAATTATAGATTTAGTATTTTAAACTATTGAAAATAATTTTATTTAATTCGATTTTCTTAGTGAAGATTTAAGTTAATATTTTTATCTATATATTGATTCTTAGAATTGGATTAATAAAATTAATAAATTAAAATAAGAAAGTTTTTAAAAAATCGAATAGAAAAAATCGCATTTTAAATAAATTATTTTAGATTAAAAAAATCATTTAATTAATGTTTTTATTTATTTATATTAAATTTTATTTTTAATATTTATGTTTTTATTAGAGATTTAAACAAATAGAAGAATTAGTTTAATAATTTAATTAAAAATATGACATTTAATAATATTATAATATATTAATAAATGCTAAATAAATCGAAGATTAAATAAAAAAATTAATTTCAGAAGGTTATTAATAAAACTATTAGGAGGAATAACTAGGTTTTTTTAAAAAAATA